GGCTTTTGCTACAGTTCAGCAGGCAGCACAGCCTTGGGTGTAACAAGGAAGATCTCAAAGCCTTATGTGGTAGACATCTATTTGGCAACTATTGCCTGAACCTCTGTCTCAGCTTTTTGGGGATTCCTACAGGAAAATGAAGCATGGCAATATTTCCTACTCTCTTGCACTTAGGTTTTTCTGCTAGTACCTTTCTCTTTCACTGAAAATTGTTGATCTTGATTCCAGAGATCTCGGTTTCATGAAGACAAAAATAATTCTTACTCAAAAATGGGGTGTTGGGGCACCTGCATGGCTCAGAGATTGAGCATCTGCCTTTGGCTCAGGTCGTGATGCTGGGATCCTGGGATTGAGTCCCACAACAGGCTCTCTGCAGGAAGCCTGCTTCTCCCTCTGCCTGTGTCTCTGCTTTTCCGTCTTTCATGAATAAATAAATAAAACCTTAAAAAAATGGAAGGGTATCTTGTATGGCTCTATGTTCAAACTGGAATAATAAAAATAGTGGTTATATTTGGTTATATCTGCAGATCTGACATTAGATAAGCCAAAAAGGAATACGGAGAAAGGAATAAAGAATAAGGAGATGGGGTCATGCCACAATGGCTACCCATCTGAAAGATCTGTACTTGGTTTACCTAGAGTTCTTCTTCCATTATAGTGCAATAATAATGGGGAGAGGGATGTTTGTGTAGGAGAGGTATCAATTCCCTCCTCAGAAAATACAGATGCTGGGTCACTATCAGAACTTCAAGGATGCTCAAAATAAGCCCAATATAAAATTTTGTGTGAGATCAATTTTTAAAAAATTTTATTTTTAAGCAATCCCTACACCCAACGTGGGGCTTGAACTCACAACCCCGAGATCAAGAGCTGCATGCTCCGTCACTGAGCCAGCCAGGCACCCCTGTCTGAGATCAGTTTTTAAAAATATTTCTCTTTTTATGTATAACAGTCATGTTCATGAATAATGGCTATTAAAGAGAAATAATCACTCATCTCCAAAACAAGAATGGTTATGTATGCAGAGTCTAAATAAATTACTAGACCTGTCATTTTACTCTTATCATACTAGGCTCCTGGTTCCTTCTGAACCTTTACACTAATTCTCTCTGGGTTTTGCATGACTACGGACACAACTGAGTTTGTGTTCAAAGATTAAAGGAACAAAAATGGCCAGAAAACCTTTGGGAGGCTGGTGGGGTGACAAGTCCCAGAATAGCAGAGACACTACCCTCCTCTACTGACAAGGGAGGTAGGAGGTACAAAGCAGCATTAGCTTATGCTGAATCCCAGTATGTTGCACAGACTTTTTCTGTGATCAAGAATTTTTTTTAAAAGACTTTATTTATTTATTCATGAGAGTCAGAGAGAGAGAGAGAGAGCCAGAGACACAGGCAGGGGCAGAAGCAGATTTCCCACAGGGAGCCTGATACTAGACTCGATCCCTGGACTCTAGAATCATGACCTGAGCCAAGGGAGATGCTCACCAACTGAGCCATCCAGGTGCCCCTGTAATCAAGAATTGGATTGATGACCCACTCAAATAGAATTTCTACACATTGTTACCTAGTAGGATTATGTTTGAAATACGTAAAATACAGCAAAGCCCAGGCAGACAAAACCTAACTTGAGAAGGTTTACTCTAGCAAGGGAATTCCATTTTTAAGAAAAAATAAGCAACTTAATGAGGTTGTTCAGTTATTTCCTAGTGTCCACCCCCCTCCAATCATCTCTAGCCTTGACTTGGGAATTTCCCCTTTTAAGGATCTTACCATGGTAACTTGTAGAAGCAAGGTGTAGTGGAGAAATTATGGAAGTTTGATGATTTGTGTTCTTATTCCAGTTTTACCACATACTGGGTGCCTTGGGTGAGACAAATATTCCTTCTGTTATTCTGTTCTGTACAATTAGGCCCATGCTCAGGCTTGTTAAGATGATCTAGTGAGGTGTGCCTGAGTGGCTCAGTTGGCTAAGTGCCTGCCTTTGGCTCAGGTAATGATCCCAGGGTCCTGGGATTGAGCCCTGCATCAGATTTCCTGCTTAGTGTGGAGTCTGCTTCTCCCTTTCCCTCTGCTCATGCTTTTTTTCTCTCAAACTCTCAAATAAATAAAATTATTATTATTTTTTAAAAAGATGATCTAGTAAGATGCCGAATTCTTTTGTGAATCATAGAATTGATTAGTATTAAGGCATTACTGTTATTTTAAAATGGAAACCAAATCATCGCTGTTTTATAAGCATCCTCGGGAAACCCTGACCATTTTTTTTACCGCTTTAATAACTTATATTGGAGTTTTTAAACTATATTAATCTTTAACTTCCAATTTCTAGATATCTCTATTTATCTGACAGCCTCTTACTTAGGACTAAAAAAACCCAGAAATGTCAGGAGTGAAAACACTTTCCCCCCACCCCAGGTTATATTACAAAGGTGATAACATTGCTTCTACTACAAATATTTTCTATGATGATCATTCTGGAAGGCAGAAAGTGTGATTAGTGTATGACATGTAGAAGAGATAAACTTCAGTGAGTGAGGAGGCAGACAAGGGATAGGTAAACACAGGTTGGTTTTTTTTTTTTTTTCTATCCCCCACAGGTCTTATATCAAAAATCATTTGAGGCATACCTGGATGGTTCAGTTGGTACTCCCATTGGATCTGCGCTGAGTGGGGAGTCTGCTTGAGATACTCTCTCTCCCCCTGCCCCTCCTCCTACTCTTTCCAAAATAAATAAACATATCTTTAAGAAATAATTTGATATGAAGATTTAAGAAATCTTCATATTGATTAGAAGAAATACACAGTGGATGAAATCTGTAGCATATTCCTTGGAAGGTAGCTTTTTTTTTTAAATTTAGAATCCAATTTTAATTTAGATTATATTCATCCAAACTCCTTCAACAAACACTTCACCTCAACAACTTAGTTCAGTACAATGCTTAGTTTCCCTATCCCCAATGTGGGGGTCAGGCAGTTCCACTGGATGTGAGTTCACTGTATGTCAGCCAGCACGTCAGAGCCAGCTTCTCTTCTCACCAGGTTGTGCTAATGGAGCAGCTCCCATGCTTGCAGCTGTGATCCAGAGGGTGTCTATGCTGAATGCAGAAACTGCCATGACACTGGTCACAAGCCACCTGCAGCATCTCTTCTTGTACCCCACTTTTGAGCATCAGTATGTAAAAATCTTTTTTTTTAAGATTTTATTTATTCATTCATGAGAGACACACAACAGAGAGAGGCAGAGACACAGGCAGAGGGAGAAGCAGGCTCTCTGCAGGGAGGCCAATTCGGGACTTGATCCTGAGACCCTGGGACCACAACATGAGCCAAAGGCAGACGGACCGCTCAACCTCTGAGCCACCCAGGCACCCGTAAAAATTTTCTTGAATGCAAAGGGACATTTATGTGCAGCACGAGTAAGATAATGAGTACACTGTCCAAAAGTCTTATTTAGTGCAAATTCAGTTTTCTATCTATACACAGAAAGGATTTAAATACAGTACATGCATAAAGGAAATACTTTTATGTTCAAGGAGGTGGTTTCATAGTTTTCCTTTCATTAGAGCCAATTTCCCTCCTAAAGGGAGATTCACATTTCTAATGTCCTCAAAGCAGATGGTGCACAGCCCATCAAAGAGATCTTTGCTCATTCATTCAACAAAATGTATTAACCATGTATTATCTGCAAGGCACTAGACTATAGGACATGGGGGATGTTAGGATGTACAAGATACAAATTCTCTTCTTAGGACAAGTGAGGGGAAACAGTCACTCAAGCTTATTGATCCTCTGCCATGTACCAGGTCCGATGACAGAGGCTTTGTATCTATTACCTCACAAGCATCTCATACTTTAGAAGGTAAGACACACGCGGAAATAATAATATGCCTGGCATATACTGAGCGCCTATTAATTAACTGTTTAATGAATGAATATAAGGAACCTAAGAGATCTCAAAATATAATCACCCTTGTTTAGAGACCCAGAGATTGAGAGACCCCCTTAGTGGTTTCCGGTGCCAAGAATCTCACTTCGGGTTGGGTAGACCACTTCCGAGCTGTGTAACGAATGGTCTGACCCTGGGCAGGTCAGGTCATCTGAATTTTGATTTCCTAATCTGCGAAGTGGGGAAAAGTGCCTGCCACTTCATAGTATTGTTTTGGGGGTTGGTGAAAACCTATGTAAGGTTTTCCGCAAAGAAGGCGCTCAAAAAAAAAGTGGTAGAAACTCTAAGACTACATTTTACTATCGGATGGATACACTCGAGCTGTTGATCTAGTGTTCATTCTACAACCGGCTCCAGTTAGGTGCACACGCTTCCTGCAAACGCACTTAAAGACCCCTAGGGACGCGGAGACCAGTGCTTCTATCTGGTGGGAGACATTAGCAACTGCAGTTTGAGTGGAGAGGCCTGAGGGACGTCTCCGGCGCCCTTTCACGGCCCTTTAACCTGCAAAGAGCCTGCCACCGACGTGCCCCACCGGCTTCTCGACCTCTCATCACGAATCCTGAGCACCCACCGCGCGCAGCGCGCCGTGCCAGGAGCTTGTAGCGAGCCAGGCACACATTCCTTCTCCGGGCTTTTACGTCACAGCTTGAGGGAACTAAGCTCTCTTCCCCGACGTACTCCTGAACTGGTTCGTAGGAAATCAGCCTACCCTCAACGTTAGCCCGAAACCTCCACACGGGAACCATACACAAAACCTCCCGCCTCTCGCGGCAGGGAGGAGCAAGGCCTCCTGGGAAATTGACCTTTAGCCTCCACTCAGTCCTTACTTCAGCTCACCAATTTTGACGCTAGCGAATGAAGCGACGAGAAAATCTGGGAGGCGGGACTTAGTGTTGTCTGATCCACGCTGATTGGACAGCGACGGCGTGAGGGGATGGACCGCGTGAGCAGGCTGGCGACCCTCCCTCGGTGGGCGGGGAGAGGTGGAGGCTGCGCTTGCGCACTGGGGAGGCGGCGGAAGTGGCCTGAGGTGGCTACGCGTGCGCGGTGGGAGGAGCGCGGCTCCACTAGCTCCTTTGCCAGCGGAGTCCTCCCATCCTTGCCCAGCTAGTGTGGTGCTCGTGTTTCCGCACCTCGTCGCGGAGAGTCGCTGCCGAGTGGGCGCTCGGTGTTCGGGTCGTCATGGCTGGTTACGAATACGTGAGCCCGGAGCAGCTGGCCGGCTTTGATAAGTACAAGGTAGCGCGGGGCCCCGCGGACGCCCCTCTCCCTCCTCTTCCCGGCCTCTCCCAGGGCGGCTGAGGGGCAGGCGCGGTCCGTGTCACCTTGTGCCGCGTGGCTCCGAGCGGGCCGGCGGGCGTTTGTCCGGGGGTCCTGCCGAGACCTCGGGCTTTGGGGTCAGGGTGCGTGGGAGCATCCCAGGCCCGCCGCCTACACTCGGTACTCTCCCGGGGGATCGCCTTTTCCGTAGGAGACGGCTCGACGAGAGTGGAACCGGAGAATTCCCTGTGCTTCTTTACTTTATTATTATTATTGCTATTATTATGTTAGCTGGTGCGGTCCCCGTCGTGGTGTCTTAATTGCCTTCATTTTAACGAAGCCTCCTCCTGCCTCTTGCATACAACTCAGATAGAGATGGTTTTTGGCAGAGGAGGCCCGGGGAGGGGGAGTAACTACTGAGGCCATTCTGCTGATGCGCTCCACTTCTACTCCCAGGAAGGAGGCTTCCTCAGCAGTGGCTTGTGGCGCTGGGGCTGCCAGTTGAAGTAACTGCACAGAAGGGACTGTGTAGTAGGAGGAGTGCGGGCTATGGAGTACGTAGAAACCTGATACCAAACTCTAATTTCTTTGCATGGCGTGGGGCCAAGTAATAGTCTCTGTCGTGCAAAATGATTATAGGGATTTGTGAGGGGCCTGACACCGAATGGGCCTCCAGTAAATGCTGGCTGTTAACTTTCCTCCACATCTGGTTTTCCTCCCCTCCTCCCTTAGCAGTGAATGACTCCACTGTCCATCCAGTTTTCCAGGCCCGAAATCTGGGCTGTAACCTTTCATCTTCGCTAACTGTCACTTTCGCTCTTGATTCCTCTACCTCACCCACCAGGCAGTGAATCACTCGGTTCTGTACCTTCTATCATTGTTAGCCTCGCTAGAAGAAGAGTGATTCTATTATCACTCTTCCCACATACACTTTAGGTAATCTTTATCCTTTAGAACCCTTTTGGAATACATTTGCAGAAAAATCATGAAGGTAGTAGAGCTCCCTTATGTCTCATACCCGGTTCTCCCTATTATTAACATCTTACATTAGTATGATACCTTTGTCACGATTAATGAACCAATATTTACACATTATTAACTGAGGTCTATACTTTACTTACATTTCCTAAGTTTTCACCTAATACCCTTTTTCTGTTCTGGGATCTCATCCAGGATATCACATTTTATTTAGTTGTCTCCTTAAGCTCCTCTTGGCTGTGACGATTTATCAACTTCCCTTCTTTTTTGATTGCCTTGATAGTTTTGAGGAGTTCTGGTTATGTATTTTGTAGAATGACCGTCAGTTGGGATTTGTCTGTTTTTCGCATAATGAGGCAAGGGTTATGGGATTTGGGGAGGAAGAGCAACGAGACGAAGTGCCATTCTCATTACATCATATGGAGAATACATGCTATCAGTATGACTTATCACTGTTGATGTTGACTTTGATCACCTGACTGAAGTAGAGTTTGTTAGGTTTCTCCCTGTAAAATTACTCCCTTTGGAAACAAGTTGCTATGAGCCCTCACTTGGTAGTGGTAGTTCCAACTTAAGTTCCACCTCCTTGAGGGGAGATTATTGACATAATTTGTTGGGAATTATGCATGGAAGATTCGTCTTTTCTTCCCATTGTATATTTATCCAACCATTTATTTATACCACTGTGGATTCACCAGTATTTATTTTATATTTTGGATTATAATCTATTACTACTTTATTTTGTTGCTTGCCCACATTTACTTTTGCCCTTACAGTCTTTTCTGTCTGTTTCATAATGATCTTTAAAAGGGATCTCTGGGTGGCTCAGCGGTTTGGCGCCTGCTTTTGGCCCAGGGCGCAATCCTGGAATCCTGGAATCGAGTCCCGCATCGGGCTCCTGGTGTGGAGCCTGCTTCTCCCTCTGCCTGTGTCTCTGCCTCTCTCTCTCTGTGTCTATAATAAATAAATAAATGAATGAATGAATGAATGAATGAATCTTTTTTTTTTAAAGTGCATCTAGTCATATTACTCCTTTGCTTAAAACCCACCACTGTCTTTCCATTGCTTTTGGAATGAAGTCCTGAAGTCCAAAAATCCATAACATGATCTACACTGCTCTGAATGATATGGTCCTTGCCTGTCTTCAGCTTCATGTTATGCTCCTCACTGTCTACCTCTGCCAGAATTAGTAGCCATCTCCTCCCCCACCACTCCCTTTTCTTATTTATTTATTTATTTATTTATTTATTTATTTATTTATTTATTTTTATTATTTATGAGGAACACAGAAAGAGAGGGGGAGAGAGAGAGAGAAAGAGAGGTAGAGGCAGAGACACATGGAAAGGGAGAAGCAGGCTCCATGCAGAGAGCCTGATGGGGGACTCGATCCCAGGTATCCAGGATCAGGCAGGCCCTGGACTGAAGGCGGCGCTAAACCACTGAGTCACCCGGGCTGCCCTCTTTTTTCACATTTTTAAGTCATGTTGTTTAGTCTGCCAGGAATGTAGCTTCCCTTCCCGTTTACATTAATATTCATGTCTTCACTTAAATTGTATTTCCTCAGAAGCATTCTCTAAGCTCTCCTCTCCCCTTAAGCATGCTGTCAGAGTACCCTCTGCTCCTTTATGGAATTTGTTAGTGTGTCTCCCTGTTAGAATGTAATACCAAAAAAAAAAAAAAAAGAATGTAAACCCAAGTGGTTAGACTTGACCACCATGGCCTGACCACAGTACCACTGTGCATACTAGGAACCCAATAAACATATGTAGAATGAATGCATAGCTGAAAAAATCATAATGGATTTTGCCTAACTAGAATTGGAAAAACTGTAAAGGACTTTAGCAAGTCATATAGGACATTCATATGCTTTCAAGCAATATGGTGTCATACAATTTTGACCTGAGGTGCTGACACGTCTTAAAATTTAAGTGGAAAGAAGTCCCAGAGCCTTCTTAGTAGCCCTGGCTAGAGCTTCACAACTTCATTAAAGAAGGTTATTAACCCAGATATGTCCTATTTTGCCTTCAGCTCTACCCCTTTCTCATTATCTCTTCTGCACTGTAAATATTGACATATAAATTTTTTTTCCTTCCCAGGATCTGGCTTTCTGGGTCCAAGTACCAATAGGATAGCTGTTTCACTTGCAGCAGTGTCTGTAATATGGAATCTAATTTTTCTTATAAAGCAGTGTTCCCTAAATTTATATTTCCAACCAGATAGGTGTCCTAAATTACAGGAAATTTTAGTGTGCTTTTCTATTCCTATCTTTTACCCTCTTCCGTTATCTGACTCACTTCCTGTGTCTGACAACAGATTTTCTATCATCCTGGAAAACAAAGGTCAGTTTAGCAAGTGTCCAATGTTCACTAAAATGTAGTTTGTTGATTTTTAAAAAGGAGGGCCACAAGTTATAACCTAAACTTCTTCAAGTAGAGGGTTCTTAGTATTGTGTTCATATTAAAAATATGAATCCAACGTTATCCAAAAGAAAAACCTCTGTGGTCAGTTTTACTGGAATGTGAATTGTACCTAGAGACCCTTTCTTCCTAAGGATCACACATTCCCATTGTGTGGTCTTCAACAGGAAGTGCTTTATAAATGCTTATTGAATTAAAACAGCTTTTGAAGAAAGATCATCCCATAAATGGGTAAAGACTCAAAACAGTCAAGAGATTTTTATTCCCTGATGTGACCCTGTATATTAGAGCAAAGAGATGTGAGAAAATTTGATAGAATAAAAGCTGCTGGTGGAAAAATTACTTTGAATTAGTTTAATTTCTTTGTCTCCCTAGAGGTACATCTGAAAGCTACAGTTGGAAACCTGGCAGTTATTCAGAATAACTGCTGAGAGGGGTGCACATGTGGGTGGTAATTAGATTTCTGTAGTAAGAAACTAAGATGATTGCTTTTCAGTGCAGAAGAAAGCATGAGATGGATTGTATGTTATGTGCTGCCTTAACACTTGTGTTTCCCATTTGTTACCACAATTTTATTAAGCAGATGAATAATTAGTTGAGAGTCTGCCTTCTCTGTTAGATTATGAGGGTAGGGCCTATAGCTGTCTTGTTCAACATGACCAGGCTAGCACATGAATAGAACGGGTGCTTAACAAATATTTATTGAAGGAATGAGAGTGTAAAAGAATATAAACCATTTTGGAAGTATGGTAAAAAGGAGCTGTCCCATCTCCTGGATATCAGTTGGAAGGATACTTTTGTATTTTGAATGTGACAATGTCTGGCGTTTAACTACCATTTTTTTCTGTTGCTTATTAATGTACCTTTAGACAATTATATTGAGGTATTTTACCTTTGAGAGGCTTATCATCCTTCCTCTCTTACCTGCCCTTTCTTTGGACAAGTCTTTACAGTTGAAGGATTTTCCCACTTGTCTAAGGGCGAAACTTGTATTGTGATTTACCTAATCTGACCTAGGGGAGGCATAGTTTAGTTGATAGTGTAACAGCTAGTTTTAAATTGTATCATTTTGCTTCAGAGAGGAGGTAAGTATTTTTTGAAATAATGTTGCTTGGTTTCAAGAATATACTTTTATTTATTTACTTAAAAATATTTTATTTATTTGAGAGAGAGAGAGAGAGAGCACAAGCAGGGGGGGAAGAGGGGAGAGGGAGGAGCAGGCTTCCTGCTGAGGAGAGAGCCCAATGTGGGGTCAATCCCAGGACCCCAAGATCATGACCTGAGCTGAAGGCAGACACTTAACTGACTAAGCCATCCAGGTGCCCCAAGAATGTAATTTTATGATGAATTGGTTTCTGCTATTATTCTGTTGTTGCACGTCAACAACAACCTGATTGTAGGAACTGTGATACATTTATTAGTATTGCAGTTAACAGGTTATAAAGAGAGACTGTGCATCTTGATGATAATGCCAAAGAGTCTGGCTTCACCCTTACTGGTTCATACAGTTTGATTCTGTTTATTCAGTAAGCATTTATTGAGGGTCTACTCTGTGTCAGGCATAGCACTGGGTCTACAAAATAC